ACGGTATGGGAAGCACATAAAGCATATATCAGGGGAATTTTGATAGCAGTTGGAGTAAAGAAAAAAAAGGAACTGCAAAAGAAAAGTAATATCCTTTTAAGGAAACTATATGAATTAGAACAGTTACATAAGAAGAGAACAAAAGAGGTACAGCAGAATATTAAAAAATAAGAGAGAGGAATTATGTAACTTGATGGAGGAAGAAACAAGGAGAACATTTAACATGATGGCAAGAGAGAGAGATCAGTGGAGGAATAGACCTGGTAAATATTTAATGAGAGCTTTGAGAAACATGAAATCAAGGAACTATATTGAGAAGACTAAAGGAGAATGATGGAGAACTGGTCTATTCAACCACTGACATCGCTAATGTATTTAAAAAATATTATATTAAATTATATAATGTCAAACCAAAACAGTTAAAAGAGGGGGGAAGAAGAATTAGAAAGAGATAGATGTACTTGAAAGAGGTGGGATTACCGAGAGTGGAAGAGGAAAGATTAATAGGTCTAGAAAAAATGGTAACACAAGAGGAAATTCAGGCGGCATTAAAGAGTACAGTTAAAGGGAAGAGCCCAGGGGCCAGAGATAGGTATACTGTTAGGTATTATAAAAAATTTAAAGAACAATTAGTTCCTAAGTTGAGTCTATATATGAATGCTTTAGGGGAGGGGATGGAAATGAGAGAGGAATCTTTGCAGGCCCATATTACAATCATTCAGAAGGAAGGGAAAGATGCAACTCAATGCGCTAGCTATAGGCCCATCTCTCTGTTAAATACAGATACCAAATTATATGCAAAGGTTCTGGCAAACAGGTTGGAAGACCTAATGCCGGAAAGGATCCACCTGGATCAGGTGGGGTTTGTTCCTGGGAGGGAGGGAAGAGTTGAGATCATTACTCCTCATTCAAAAAAGTAATAAAGAAAAAGCTCCTGTCCTGATACTATCAGTAGATGCAGAGAAAGCGTTTGATAGGGTAGATTGGGACTTTATGTTAGGAATGTTGGAAGTGTTGGGAATTAATCCCAAAATGAGAGAGGGAAAGAGAACTAAAGTATTCGGGAATAAAATTGCCCCCCTCCTCAAAGAACTTATATACAATAAATTATATCCCATCTGTAAACAAAATCAAGGAGGAACTAAGGAGAATGGCGGTAGGACCCATATCTTGGATAGGACGAATACATTTAGTAAAAAATGGTAATTGTCCCGAAAATGCTCTATAAATTTCATATGTTACCTATACAACTTCCTGGAACCTATTTCAAGATAGTTAAAAAAATGAATATTGAGGTTTATCTGGAAGAACAACAGGCTGAAAATAAGCTATGAAGTATTGTGTAGAGACAAGGAGAGTGGGGGATTAAACATGCTGCTTAATAGTATCTAAGGAGATACTATTACTCAGTATTATTTTCATGTATTAATGATTGGACACATAATGCACTAAAGGAAAAGTTGGGTGGATATAGAAAAACACATTAAGTAGGACACAGTTTGATAAGATGGTTTGGTTACCGCCCCAGCACTGTAAGTTGGCAGAGAGTATGAGCAGATATACACGGAATGTAATTAGGGCCTGGGATATAATACACAAACAAAAGGGGTGGGAGTACAACTATAATGATGCCATTGGCGGCCTCAGATTTCTTCCCATCAGGGATAAAAAACTATCTTGGGTAAATGGATAAAAAAAGGAGACGTGCAGTTAAAAGATATACTGAAGGTGGATGAAATATGAGCCTTTCAGGAGCTAAAAATAAGGAGTTGTTTATTCGTTTAGATGAATGGCGATATCTTCAATTAAAACACTTTGTAGTAACACTCCCCAAGCCCCTTAGGGCAGTGGCTGACTTTAATCCATTTGAACAATTGTTCAGTAGAAGAGGGATATGAAAACAGGGTACTTCTCGAATTTATAAAATTCTTACTGTAGAAGCAGGAAATACTCCCCCCCCCAGTATATGGTAAAATGGGAAAGGGATTTGGGAATAGCACTAGAAGAGCAGCAGAGAAAGAAAATATATAGATTGGCACAGGGGGCTGTAGATATGAAGGTAGTAGAAATTAACTATAAGTGTTTAGCTAGGTGGAATGTTACACTGAGTGTGGCACATAGGCAATATAGAGATAAGTCACCCCTGTGTTTGGAGGGGATGAGGGGATGTGGGTGTGAGGGCACAATGGCACATATTTGGTGGGAGTGCCCCAAGATACAGAAGTATTGGGGTGAAATAATACACCAAATACAGGAGAATACAGAGGTTAGTGTTCCAAAAGATCCAGGCACAAGTCTATTCCACAAAACAGAGACCACTGTAGAAAAAAATATAAAAATATGGTGATATTTCATCTGATAAATGCGGCAAAGGGACTTATACCTAAATTTTGGCAAGAACAAGAAGAACCAAAAGTGAAGAGCTGGATAAGTAGAGTAGATTATTTGTATAGGATGGAGGAACTCCACCATATGGAAGAGGATAAAATAATGAGATTTTGGGGAAAATGTGAGGTGTTTAGAAAATTATCTAATGGAAGAGATAGAGAGGAGAAAAACTAAGAAAGGGTAAAAAGAGATAGGTAAACTAGGAAGAAGGAGAATGAAGTTCTGAGAGTAGTCTGGAAATAAATAAGAACTGGGAGCTAAAAAGAAGAGAATATATAGGAGGAAGAAAGGGTATGGGGGGGAGGGGGATGGGATAGGCAGGGGCGGAGAATTGTTTAAATGAAAATGTTTTATTTTGTATTTGTATAATATGATTATTTATTGATGTTAATTATTGAAAACTAATAAAATATTAAAAAAAAAAAATGAAAACAGCTTTTAGGAAAAATTAAAACAAAATTCCAACATATCTGGATGTCATGAATCGACCATTTACTCCCCCCCCCCCCCCGCATTAAACCGCAAATCACTTACCATTTAGGATAAATACACCACTCTGACGCACAGGTCCCCCCACTTAAGAGCCTCCCCAGCCTAGCCTCTCCTCCCTTTCTGTTTGCTTCCTACGCTGCCTCCTCTCTGCTTTTTTTTTGTCCCGCCATCTTTTTTATTTCTTGTTTATCTGTTATTAGACGTATTTCACTACATTTACTGGTCACTCATCTTTCTGGTCTTTCCAAAAACCTATCTATCATCCCACTTAAGAGATTACTCTAACGGACCTATGGCAAAGGAAGAATTAGGCATCTACAACTTTTTATACTTGTCTGTATATATGTTCCTGCAATGACAATAGCTGGTATAATGTAATTGTAACTTAAGAACCCTGTCCAATCTCTCAAGATCTGTTAAAGGAGAAGTATAGCCAAAGCTATTTTGGCACTACATCTCCTGTAGGTCACAGTATTGCAGTTTGTTCTGCACTCCTGTGACCCGTCACACATGGTTGGGATCCACCCAGAAGCCTGGACCGGCAGATGGCTCAGTCTCTCAGTGATCCGCCGAGAGCCTCAGCCAACTCTTCCTGTCCCCTCCACAGCCCAGCTCTCTAGTGAGCACTGGAGGGGCAGAGCAGAGAGCCAGAGACTGACAGTCATGGCTCTCTGCTCAGAGCGGAGGAGAGAACTGAGCAATCAGCAGTGTTTGATTCTCACTACAGAGCTGGCAGGCGAATGATGTAGCATTGAATCAATGCTGCATCCACGTAGGTGAGTAAAAATGTTTGGTTTTTTTTTAGTTGTCCATACTTCTCTTTTAACCCTGTTTTTGGCAGCTAGCAGACAGCAATTTGTGTGCAATGCATACCTCCCACACAGGGAGCACATAACATATAATGCCAGTTGTTGTTGTTGTCATCATAGTTCACAGATGCCCTTTAATACTGTAATATTTTTGGAACAGCAATGTTTTGTAAACTTTAAAATAAAAAGTTAATGAAAGAATGTAATTTTGCATTAAAGGCTAAGTTCACTTTAATAAAAAGTACAGCTTGCTTATGTACCAATATAATAATGATTTACCTGTATGCAGAAATGAAAAAGCTTTGCCTTTATTCCAGGGCAGGCTTCACCTTAACCTCCAGTTTCTTCAATAGAAAACTCCTCCATGACTTCCTAAGGTCTGTTCCCATCCACTGCTTCTGTCCTCATAAATTCTGCCAGAGCTATCTGTGTTAACCCCAAACTCTTGGCATGCCATTTGTTCCATTCACCATATTTTTCGCTCCGTAAGACGCACCTGACCATAAGACACGGCTAGGTTTTAGAGGTGAAAAACAAGAAAAAAAATATTCTCAACCAATGGACTGCAGACATAGTACAGAAAATGACCAGAGACTGCAGACACGGTACAGGAGATGACCAGAGACTGCGGATATAGTACAGGGGATGACCAGAGACTGCAGACAGTACAGGGGATGACAAGAGACTGCAGACAGTACAGGAGATGACCAAGAGACTGCAGACAGTACAGGAGATGACCAGTACAGATGACTGCAGACAGTACAGGGATGACAAGAGACTGCAGACAGACAGTACAGGAGATGGCCAAAGACTGCAGACAGTACAAGGGATGACCAGAGACTGAAGACAGTACAGGGGATGACCAGAGACTGCAGACAGTACAGGAGATGACAAGAGACTGCAGACAGTACAGGGGATGACCAAGAGACTGCAGCCAGTACAGGGGATGACCAGAGACTGCAGACAGTACAAGGGATGACAAGAGACTGCAGACAGTACAGGGACACGGTACAGAAGATGACCAGAGCCTGCGGACACGGTACAGGAGATGACCAGAGACTGCGGATATAGTACAGGGGATGACCAGAGACTGCAGACAGTACAGGGGATGACAAGAGACTGCAGACAGTACAGGAGATGACCAAGAGACTGCAGACAGTACAGGAGATGACCAGAGACTGTGGATATAGTACAGGGGATGACCAGAGACTGCAGACAGTACAGGGGATGACAAGAGACTGCAGACAGTACAGGAGATGACCAAGAGACTGCAGACAGTACAGGAGGTGACCAGAGACTGCAGACAGTACAGGGGATGACAAGAGACTGCAGACAGTACAGGAGATGGCCAAAGACTGCAGACAGTACAAGGGATGACCAGAGACTGCAGACAGTACAGGGGATGACCAGAGACTGCAGACAGTACAGGAGATGACAAGAGACTGCAGACAGTACAGGGGATGACCAAGAGACTGCAGACAGTACAAGGGATGACAAGAGACTGCAGACAGTACAGGGAATGACTAACAGACTGCAGACAGTACAGGGGGTGACCAAGAGACTGCAGACAGTACAGGAGATGACAAGAGACTGCAGACAGTACAAGGGATGACCAAGAGACTGCAGACAGTACAGGGGATGAGAAGAGACTGCAGACAGTACAGGAGATGACAAGAGACTGCAGACAGTACAAGGGATGACAAGAGACTGCAGACAGTACAGGGGATGACCAAGTGACTGCAGACAGTACAAGGGGATGACCAGAGACTGCAGACAGTACAGGGGATGACCAAGAGACTTCAGACAGTACAGGGGATGACTAAGAGACTGCAGACCTTTGGGGAGGGAGGAGGTGCGGGTACCTGAATTTTTGACAGGTATCCGCTCCCACTTCCGCTGAGTTGTCCTCCCTTTAGTGTGGACACCCGGCTAACAGCCGGGTGTCCACTGCACATGCGCGAGAAGCACTGCTCTTGTGAATGGCCCGGCGTCTTCTGGGACACATGACAGGTCCCAGAAGATGCCAGGCCATTCACAAAATGCAGTGCTTCTCACGCATGTGCAGTCACAGCCGGGTGCCCACACTAAAGATGTGGAGCGGGAAGACTGTACAGCGCTGGACCGAGGAACAGGTAAGGTCCTGCTGCAGAGAAGAGCTGAGCAGTCGGTCCAGTATTCTGACACGGTGGCGGCGGCGGAAATACCAGACCAGCCGCTCCATATTCGCTCCGTAATATGCACTGACATTTCCCCCCCCTTTTGTGGGGGAAAAAAGTGCGTCTTATGGAGCGAAAAATACGGTATATTGCCTTGCAGTCCTGTTCTCCTCTCAGGGCTGGTTCACACCAGATGCAGTCTAGTGCATTTTTAATCTGCATCAAAAATGGATACACAGTATTTTCCATATATTCCAATGGCCCTAGTTCACACCAGTGCAGTCAGCAAAAATAGAACATGCTGCATTTTTTCTGTATGACATTTTTCCAGTAAAACACATGTAAACACAGCAAAAAATGCAATGGAACACACATTGTCCTTAGAGTTTACAAGTGTCAAAATTAAAAAAAGAAAAAAAAATACGTACTGGAACCCATTGAAAACTTAAAAACATGTGTAAACCTGACCCAGTTCTCTTGTCCACACACTTGATTTGGATGGGGGAATCCTTCCTGCTGAGTTATTGTATTCCTGGCAACAGGATGATTTACACAAGTCAATCAGTAGATCAACTTCTGTACAAACAAGCCTACCCATACCTTGAGCAAAATTCAGTCAGTCCCTGCTGAATTTACTAAATTTTGACCCATTTATATGTGGCTTAAGAGTTCCATAAGATACAAAAGGAGCTTCAACACAAGCTGTTCTGCTGTTCTGTGCCTTTTAGTAACCCGCAGTGTTTCTGGGAACCTTTTGTTATATATTAAATGTTAAAACTAATGTTACCCTGAACAGAAAGTCAAATCCCTGCTTCAGGTACATTCTCTGGTGTCACAGACAGGGAATCTGCTCTGTCTATTGGCAGACTGGCCAATCAGGACTTGATATAGCAGCTGGGGCAGACTTTGTCAAAAGCCATGGAGAAGCCACAGAGCGTTTGGCATGTACCCTCATGTAGTGATGGTGAGAGCCACAAAAACAGTCAAGGCTTAGGGTCAAAGAATCAAATTAACATTCTTTGAACAACTCTGCATTTATTCTGGGCCCCTCAGACATTCCTTGTCCTTCTTTCATGCCCTCTTCTCCCTATACATTAAACTTTGGGAAGAAGAATTACAGCCATATTTCACTCCAGAACAATGCCAGAAGATACTACTTTTTCACTCAAATCCTCAATCTATACCAGATATCAGGAAACTAGTTTCAAACTTCTGAACACATGGTATAGAATACCAATATCTTCATTTAAATCATTATATTTCAAATCAGTGCTGGTGATGTGTCACAAGTTAGCCTGCAGTTTCTTGTTTGTGTTCTTACCTCCTTGCTGCAGTGCTGTTCCTGATCCCTTCACATGTGCGTTTCTGTGCTCACCTATGGGCATTGTCTTCTGTTCTCTGGGTTTTATTTCCTCCCTTCCATCACTTCCTGGCCCACCTCCTTGTTTGCCTGCCTATATAAGACATGCTCAGTCTAGGCCACTTTGCCTGAGCAACTTCCTAGTTTGGAGCTCATGTGTGTTGCTATTGCCTGTATCCTGCATTGACTACTTGTGTACCGACCCTGGCTTCGTTCTCTGATTGTGTGCTTGGTTTCTGCCTGTCCTGACCTTGGGTAGTCTATTGGATTTCCGTTTGTCTCCTCCCATTGTACTCTGCTTCCATGAGCGGTCTCCTCAACCTCAGCCAGGCGTACCTGGGGGGCCGCGACTTGGTCCCAGCTTGCTGCAAGCCCATCCCCACCATCAGGGACTCTGGTGAAGAAGCAGGCTGGGGCTTAGACTCCGAGCCCTGGGGAACCCCAAGTTGAGTATCAAGCAGGGCTCACTACCACAGGTGCTGACATGATGCAACACAGAACAAGGCTTCATTCTGCACCAGTCCTGGCCTTGACCGAAACAATGGGCCTTTTGGAATGATGACAGGAAAATATAGCAAAGATTATTGGATTTGCCCATCGCAGAGGATCCTTCCTTTTTCCATCAAAATTCCCGCATCCTTATGAAAATCTACTGACAATGTATCCTCTCTCAAAGCTCAAAGCTACTAAGGTCTGTATTTCCCTGAGATGGTAAAACCATACACCTCCTCGGTTTCTAGGTGAATAAATAAAGCTAAATAAAGGAGAGTTAATGAAATATATGGAAGACCTTACTGTATATTCTCTTTTCAAAATATACAAAATTAAACATTTTGTAACACATAGTTCTTTTGGATCAGCTTCACTTTCTCAAATGAGGACTAGGCTCTAATGTCAGAAACTTCTAAACTAACTGGCCTCCTTTAGCTGCATGCCCAAAGTGATCTTCTCTCCCATTTTTCCATAGGACATGTTCTTGCCTTTATATTCTCCCTTTCACCCCTCCATAGCTCCGCTGGTTTCCCTTGCCTCCATCATTTTCCTAACCCTCCAATTGCTTCAGCAGAAAACAAAGGAACTTGAATAAACTATGTAAATATTTTATTATCAACAATGGAATGTATCTATTTTGAATAAGCACACCTTGTTCTTGTTTATAATGATTCTTCATGACTTGTATTGTGCAATGCTCAGAGTCTTTAAACAAATAAAGAGTTTAAAAACACATATACCTTTGTACATATTTGAAAAGCAGATATAAAATAACATTTTTGTACAGTGCACTAAAATCTAACCTTTGTGTGCACTGTTGTATAATTAGATATAATCAGAGTATATCAAAGCAGTAGTGTGAGGCAGGTAGCAGGAATCAGAATACTGAAGTGTCTGTATATGCACCAATGTTGTTTGCTTAGATCCTCTGTAGGCAGCACAATCAGAACATTGAAACTCTGACTCACAAGTGAATATGAGATGAAGGCAATGGTCCAGCACTTGGTGTCCTCTTGCCAGGTTTTTTTTAGAAACGGTTCCTCACTGTGTCATGTACTGTATTAAAAGCAAAGGAAACAAAAGCAAGGGAGATTTATATAGAATTCCATTATATTACAGCATTTCATTTCTATAATAAATCCAGAGGATGTCTCTAAATGGATAATACTTAGTTTGCTAAAGCACTCTGTATCATAACCAAGATTTTTTTTCATAAAATTCGGTTTTCGCTTTCTTTTTTCTTTGTTGCATATCAGTGCTGCTGACCTCATAGAGCCTCATTGCAGCTACTTACTATGTGGATTTGCTCCAGTGATAACTGCATGGCATTTCCTGATGGTGAAAACACAGGACCACACCTGTGAAAGGTGTTTTAAAATGATCTCTTGTAGTCTCCTTTGAAAGCTTGTGTGACAAGGTGTTAACATAGGAGCACAGCTAGGAGACACCCATGTGATAAAAACAGGATCACCAGTAATTATTTTAATGATGTCTGCAGATTTAAATATTAAAAATTAGTACTGAAATTACATTATTATTTTATTTTTATTACAGGTACTTATATAGCGCCATCAATTTACGCAGGGCTTTACATATATATATTGTATATTCACATCAGTCCCTAACTCTGAAGGGGTGTACATTCATACATACACATACTAGGGACAATTTTAGACAGGAGCCAATTAACCTACCAGCATGTCTTTGGAGTGTGGGAGAAAGCCGGAGTACCCGGAGGAAGCCCACGCAGGCACAGGGAGAACATGCAAACTCCAGGCAGGTGGTGCCGTGGTCGGGATTTGAACCAACGACCCTAGTACTGCCAGGTGGAAGTGCTAACCACTTAGCCACTGTGCTGCCCACATTAGCATGTTAAAGTGTATATAAGCTTTTAGTCACTCAGTTACATGTATTTTGAAGTAACAAAGGCAAGTAGAGATGAGCGAATTATTCAAAAATTCGATTCGGCTGATTCGCCGAATTTGCGGGAGAAATTTGATTCGATGCGAATTTATTCGCCGCGAATTTAACTTATTAAAAGGGTTTCTAGGCTTCAGAGAGCCTTTATATTAGTGCAGAACACTGTACCTTTAATTTAAATGCCCTTGGAGTCTGCTGGGGAAGAGAAATAATACTGTCAGTCAGTATGACATGCAGATGAGTGCCGTCGATCTTAGAATCACCGCACACTTCACTCATTTGGGCAGTCACGGGGCACGACGAAGAAGAAGAAGAAGAAGAAAGAATGAAAAGAAGAATGAAAAGAAGAAGAAGAAGAAAAGAAGAAGAAGAAGAATGAAGAAGAATGAAAAGAAAAGAAGAATGAAAAGAAGAAGAAGAAGAATGAAAAAGAATGAAAAGAAGAAGAATGAAAAGAAGAATGAAAAGAAGCAGAAGAATGAAAAGAAGAATGAAAAAAGAAGAAGAAGAAGAATGAAAAGAAGAATGAAGAAGAATGAAAAGAAGAATGAAAAGAAGAAGAAGAAGAATGAAAAGAAGAAGAATGAAAAGAAGAAGAAGAAGAATGAAAAGAAGAAAGAAGAAGAAGAAGAATGAAAAAAAGAAGAATGAAAAAGAAGAAGAAGAAGAAGAATGAAAAGAAGAATGAAGAAGAAGAAGAATGACAAGAATGAAAAGAAGAAGAAGAAGAATGAGAAGAATGAAAAAAAGAAGAATGAAAAGAAGCAGAAGAAGAATGAAAAGAAAAAGAAGAAGAATGAAGAAGAATGAATGAAAAGAAGAAGAATGAAAAGAAGAAGAAGAATGAAAAGAAGA